TCACAGAGGAGCAAAGTAAGTATTTGCATTTCAAAGTAAAGAAAATTCTTAAAACATAAGTGACGCTAAAATGTTTTCCACATGTTTGGAATCACACACCTAGAAAACGACAGCAATTTTATGAATGAAAATGGAAATTGGACGCACAACAGTGTTCCACCTTATATTTCAGCACTTATGGGACATTATACTGTTTATATTTATAAAATGGTTTTAAATTCATATTTGCTGCCCCCTACCAAATATTAGTGATGGTGCAATATTGTGCTCCAGCTACTCAATTTCATATGGAAAATCATTCAGCTTCAGTTCCATGAAACATGTTTTTGATTATAATATTACAAGCTGAAATTTGCTTTTCATTAGGGCTGCTGGAGCGGTTGTATTTTGTGCAATGTACTACACAGTAACTGGAGTTTTCAATCCACTCCCACATTCTCGATTTCCACAAAAAACAGTGCACTAAATTCTAAAAGTAAAAGTGCCTTGTTTCAAACCTACACATCTCAAATGTAAAGCCGTGTCCTGAATTATACCTCTTTCCCAAAGGCAAAGATGAAGGACATAGAAGACTGATGAGATAATAAGTGGAGATCCAATTGTGGTTTTATATGTGGGGACAAATGATATGATAGACAGAAGGTCTGAGGAGCTGAAGAAAGGATATATGGTGCAGGTTTGGAACAAAGGATGAAAAGATCTGTGCTGTTTCCAGTATTACAGTTTCTAGGAGTGAGTAGAATTAGTAGAATTTCAGTATCTGCCATGAGAAATTGTGTGTATAAGAGGGAATTTATTTTTAGATAACTTTAAGTAAGAACCTTTGTAGGAAGGATGGTTTGTACTTAATGAGGCAAGAGTCAAACAAAACATATCCCCTTCTGTACAGATTACCTATAATGAAGTATATGGTTTCTTCTTGTTCCTTTTGTTTTAAAGAAATAAAAGCAAGCTTAACAAGATCACTAAGACAACCTGATATCTGAAGCTGCTTTAGGTAGATGTTAAATTAATTAGAAGTTAACAAGTGAATGACAAATAAGCAATTTTGATAAGCCTTCATAAAGCTTCATAAATACCATTGAACACTGTTAATGAACAAAAGTTGATTAAAAATAATTGCATTTGATATAATCCTTTATCACTATAATATTTTTACACATTAAAATGTAGAACTGTTTGCAAGAGCACTGGAGAACTTCGGAAGAAACGTGATTTGATCTTATCCTTCCAGAATACCCATCCACTGACTTTTTTTTAAAATGTGTTCTACCTCAACCACCTGCAACTTTAAATCTGTATTCTCTTATTCTGCTGGCATGGTGCAACTGAAATAATTGTTCTTGGTTTACTGTCTAGATTCCATATAAAATTTTGTCTCCCTCAATTCGGCCCCCTCTGAGAAGTCTCCTTTCATGAATGAAGAGCCCTACCTTGTCTAATCAATGCTCATAGCTAATGCCTCTAACACAATCATCCCCATTACATTGCCTCTAAGGCCTGGGTAGCCCCATTAATTTGTGGTGACCAGAACTATATCCAATAGCTGGGTGCAGTCTGGCTAGAGAACTACATGGGTTGAGTATGACTTCTGGGGATTTGAACTCATCTAGTTTGGTAATATAAGCCAAAAAACTGATGCTTATTTATTGCTGCTTCACAGTGTTTTGACAATAGTGCGCAATACAACAACTAACATTCCTAGATCTTCATCCAGCTTCCCCTTCAGCAAGTTCTCTCTCATTTATGGTGTACATGTTTCTTGTTCTTCCTATATTATACAAGCAAAGGCAACAGCGAATCTGTGCCAGCAACATCTCACAAATAGCAATGAGGTGATTGACAAATATGTGCCTTGAAGTGGTAGGAGTTCGATGAAGTGAAATATTTGCCAGTATTTCACATATAAAATATAGTAACCACATTTTACAGTCAATCTTGCTACTGCTTTGAGGTGCCTTTCTGATGTGAAAGGCTTTATATTTTTTTCTTTTATTACATTGAGAGAACGCCATGATTCTTTCAAAAATAGTACACGAAGATCATTAACTCCACCTGAATCAGCAAATGGGTACTCAGTTTATTGTTTGGCTTCTCTAACAATGCACCCTCATTACTGCACTGTTCCCAGTTTAGATTATAACCTTCAGTTCTGGTATGAGTTCTCAAACCCGTAACTTTCTGCTCCAGCAATAAGAACTCTATCAAATGAGCCAGACTGACATTTGTAGCTCTTAATCGTAAAATTTCTCATTTTAAATTACTCGAAAGGACTCAGCTAAATGGTAGATGCATATTTTAATAAATGCAATAAGTGAGTTGAATAGGAGTAACCAATGTCAACCTAAATAACACATTTATGTTAAAACTGTAAATACTGAGTGCTGATAACAATAGTATTCACATGCCTGGATTTGTTTACATCTGACAACATTTGAACTTTTTGCCAGGTATTATTTTGCTGGCATCCTGCCATAATGTTTTAAGACTATACCCAACACAGTAGTTGAAAACAGGTGGCAAGTGTTGCTGTTGCTGACCCCTGGTGGATTTTAAATAGTAAATTACTTGCAAGGGCCAACTTGTTTACTGGTTAGAGATAGTATGGCCAGCAGCAAAGTGATAAATGTCACCACAAAACAGTGCGAGTTATTCAGCTTTGCCAATGAACTTAGTGATGTCTCGTCATTTGTGATCATTTGTATTTATCACTTTTGTATTTGTTCAAGTGCAAGAAGAAACCAATTTTGTCAGCAGTTTTGGCCTGAGAGAAAAATAATAAAGCAGCAACTTATTTCTGGAGATTTTTAAAATTATCTTTCAACTGCTCGGCTTCTACTGGTTTCTTACCTGTCATGCATAGAAACTAGAAATGGGTATTTATTATCTGGAGCAATAAAATGCTATTTAAATACATTTAATGTAGCACTTTATCATATCGTTGAAATGTGTCAAAGAACTTCACAGGATTAATTGCAGTGTAGTGAGTGTATATACTGTCGGCCAGTGGTGGCCAACCTTTTTGGTCGACCAACAATATACATTTTCTTGATTGAATATTTCTTGATTTATGCCATAAATCACAAAATATTTAAACAAGAATAACTGGAAACACACTATTGATTGAACGTGACCATTTTTAACCGGAAAATTGTTGGCCAGGAGACCAGGTGAACTGCCATTCTTTTCCGACAATACCTTGGCATCTTTAATATATGCCTGAACAAAACAAAATCTCGGTTTAATGTCTCAACCAAAATAATGGCCCCACTGACCAGGTAAATCTGTGTTTGATGGGTAGTTTGTTTCTATGTATTTATTGATTGAATATTTCTTGCTTTATGTATAAATCATAACTCAAGAAATATTGATTTTTCATTGAAAAAAAACTTTTTTTTATTGAAAATGTATTTTGTTGCCTAAAAAATTGGTCACCACTGGCCTGGACTGAGCTCAAAGGCCTAAACTGTGAGCTAACAGGACTGGTGTGAGGCTTGAATCACAACCCTCTGAATGAGGCAAAAATGCTACCGAACATGCCAACCTGCCATCCTTTGGTGGAATATTTTTTATCATATGCGTGACCTGAAAGTAACGGTTTAATATATAGCAGCTCATTCTCACTAAATTCAGCTGACAGAATGTCAAAAGTATGGCATGGGATACACATACTCAAGTAGTGGGATGTCAATCAATCCAAGCAGTAAAAAAAATCCCCAAACCCTCCTGGAATCTTGTGTCAAAAGAACGACAGAGAAAGGGAAGAAAGGAGACTTGTGTAGAAACCGCTGAGCAGAAGCCAATCATCCCTCCAAAGGAAAACGCTTTTGCCAGAACACAGTCTGGCTCAGTTGTTAGCACTCTGGAAGTTAAATTTGTAAGTTCAAAATTCCATGACAGGACTTGGAACTCGGCTAGTTTATGCTAACCCTCCAATGCAGTGCTGGGGATGTGCCGTATTATTGGAATGCGCCATACTTCGAATGAGACTTTAAACTGCGCTCCCATTTGTTAGAGTCCAACACATTGTTCGAAAAGTGGAGTTTCTCCTGGTGTCCTGGTTATCAATTCCCCAGATAAAATAGTTCAGTAATTTCATGGCTGTTTGTGGGACATCACTGTGCACAAATCAGCTGAAGCATTCAGCTATAAATCATTGCTCAGTAAATCCTATGAAGAGCTTTGAGATGATTTGTAGATGTGAATGGCACTATAGCAAATGCAAGGATTATAGATTGGATGGAATGGTAGATCAATACTCTATTCTTACCTGACATCATTACTATGCAGTTACTTGCACCACCCAAAGATGACTTTCAGGAAACATTTTGGAAAACCATTAGCTTAAAGGTTGAACTATGTTATCGAATACAGGTCTTATGGGTCATGTAAGGGGATGACTTGGAATACTTTATTAAAAATACAACTAGAAAGGTAAAGAAGTGGTTGGCAAACCAGAAAGCATTACTTAATACATCCCATTATAATTTCAATGCAAACGTTCCAACATCTTACATAAAATGTCACAGTGCTCTTTATATACTAGTTACAAGCTGCTTTGATTTATTGCAACATCAAAATACTCAGTTCTTTAAGAAGGTAATGGACCCCATTCAAAGGAAAAAAAACATCAGTATAAGGTTTAAGGTCTACTACTGTAAAAGCTTTTACTTATCTGGTGACAGATAAGAACATAACTAAGGTTTTTCTTCTACCAGTTTCTGGCAATTAGTTCCACATTCCCAACACTCTCTTTGTGAAGAAGTTCCTCCTGAACTCCCCATCAACAAGCAACTATCCTGTACTTTAAGTTCTGACAAATCCTTTTACAAAGCTTCCAATTTAGATACAATTAGTTGCAACATCACTGGAATATCTGTTCCTGGAATACAATACTATTAAGTGTTTTTATGGTGAAATATGTCCTCAAAAGGAAATGACAAAGATGGCCCTTTGAAGTTGAACATGATGAGTATCATCAGATTATTAAAACACTGTAACAGAAGAGAATGCAAAATCAGTTTTATTCCAACTTTCAAATTCTGCTCAGCTCATATAAATTACTGAGTGCTGTAAACATTTATCCATATGCTCAAAACAAGTTCAGACTGATTTGAATATTTTTTTGCAGTTTGCATTCTTGCTCTTAAATTAAAGTACAATGATAGCACTGGAAACATTACAGTAAATAAAATAAAGCAAACAATGGTATTTTAAAAGGTAAAACATAAAGATAACTTGTACATGAACAGTATTTTCCCAAATGGCAAAGCAATGTTACCAGTTCTGGATTACAACCTGAATTACCATACAACCGGTCAGTTATAATTCAGCACTAATATGCCTGCTCATTTAAAATTAAAAATCTACAATAAAATACAGTGTATGTTGCTTAAGAATATAGGTTACAAAACAAAGCAGAAAACTGCTGACCAAGACTGGAGGTGAAAAGATTTCTCAGTGTCTGATGCAAAACATTTTTAAATAGAATGAGCGAGACAGGAAAATTTAGTTGCGAATGCTTGCTATTATTTCAGACCTGATCGACGAGCAATGTTTTACAATGATTTATTATTTTTAAAGTGCCAGAGGCTCCAAAGAAGTTTAAATTTCCAGCAAATGTTAGTTCACATTAGTGAAACTTTTTGTGGAACTAGCTCGCTATTAAATGGTTATGCGCATTGTAAGAACTACATCTAAAAAATGATAAAATGGCTGCTATTAATTAACCAATAGGATTGAAACAAGGCAATGGTTGCAGCTTAGATAAACTACTATATAACCAATGGAAAATACATACACATAGCAAATACTGAAAAGTACAAAAACACATTTATTGTAATAATAGAAAACAATTTCAATTGCTATAAAAAATTCCAGCATCCCAAGTAATTGTAACCTGATAAATTACATGTTGAAGCTAATATTAGGAGCCCAACTTGTGCAATTAAATGCATCAACAGCAGCAATGCAGAATGACCAGAGAATACATTTCACACATTTACAGATTTATTGATTCTTTAGCTGCTAGAAGTTTAGCTGATATAGGATATTTTGGTGAACCTTTGTAACGGATTTTTTCTTTTTCAGAGATTCTGCTCAGCAAGTGATGAGGCAGGGTTTTTTCTGGAGTTATACACAGCATTTTCTCAACAATGACATCTTGCTTTAGAGATACTTTCCGGTTTGTCAAATCTTCAAAAACTGACTGTTTGGTGCTCTGCTGGCAGCTCTTAAACGCAGCAGAACATCCTGCATCATTTGCTGATTTAGTTTGGCAAAAACCTTCAATAAACAAACTACTTTTGTGCACATTTCTTTTTTCATTTGGCTTCATACTCATCATTTTTGTGTTTGTAACTGAATCCGGGATATGTTTTAAGCTTGATTCTGCGCAAGGTGAGAAAAGACTTTCATGGCTTACTGATTTTACTACTGGAGAGTCAGCAACATGTTTACATGATCTGGTTGTATTTGTTGTTGATTTAACACACAATGAATTCATCCTTTTAACAGACTGACGAACTGAAGTGCGCTTAAAAGTTAAAGGCAATTTAACACATGTGTGTTTTGGTGTCTGATCATTTAACGAAAGAGTATTAAACCGTTGAATGTGCTCAACCACTTTTAATTGATGGGCATATTCAGTCTCTCCATCAGGATTTGGCAAAATCTTTGCTGAAGGAACATTCAATGGAGCTGCAATTGAAGGGGATTCTAAACCTCCAGATAGTGAACTTACATCAGTTTTCTGATTTAAAGTAGGCTCTAATTCGCGAGTTAAGAGCAGGGGCTGGTGCAATTCAAAGGTATGATTAACATCTGTATCTAGAGATTTTGGTGGGGTTAGATTCTCTACAAGAGTGCTGGCATTTTCATTTTGTTCAAAATTTGATGACTCCTGATTAGTTTTACCTATAGGAGTTGGAGGTTCTGTTTTGTTTAATAAAGGTACTATGGCACACTTCAAAGGTGTTTGTTTGTCTTTTAAATTTGTCTCATCCTCAGCTGAAGATGGAAGGTCCAGTTCTTTTTCTTGCAGTACCACAACTTCATTGATATTCTGCTGGTCCACATTATTAATGCAATTTTGGTTATTTATATCATAAGTTTTGCTTACATCTGCTGCGCACTGATATAGTTTGGCGCCTTGACACTTTATTTCAGCTACCGGTTTTGATGAAAATTCAGAGCAAGACCATTTCCGATCGAACAAATCTTCAAATGATCTGGTAGATTTCAGAGGAGTGAAACTTTGGTTCTCCAAGAATAGTTTGTCTTTGGATAAATCGTCCACAATAGGTCCACTGTCTTCAATCAGAGAACAAAGATTGCTCCCCGATTCTGAAAATGCCTTCTTAATTTTCAACACAGTCTCTCCTGCCACAATGTTCCCAGCCTCATCTAAACAGTCTTTGCTCTTAGCTAAGCTTTGGCTACTCACTTCCTCAGGTATAGTCGGTGGCTTTACAGTGACTAGAAAAGGTTCTGATTGATAGCTTCTGGAATTTAGATACCCCTCTAAAGGCGCTCCCATATCAACATGATCACAAAATACATTAGGCCCTATCGGACTGGCATCATTCCAAGACATTCGATGCGTGTCCTTATCAAATGCCGGAGTGAGAAGGTTTTCTTCCGATTTACTAACATGCTTTGAATCTGAAAAGAAAGAAGTAAATAAAACCGGTTCCAAATTAAAAGCATCCAAAGTTTAAGACGTCAAGCAGACTTTTGTAATGTTTCCAACACATTTCAAGCAAATATAATTATTTTTAAATTCCATTTTTTAATTTGGATAGAATATATACAGAGTAGATAATGCTACATTAAGTAGCCTTCAGAACCCAATTTTGAAGTGTGGCACGTTATCTAAAACTCATTTACTATAAGTCTATAACGTGTGCGTGAAAAATATAGGGTGATCTTAATTTCAGCCCATACCAGTAGATGGAATTGAAGAAGAAATGCAAGAGCATTTTTATGAATTTAACTAATGCCTACACATGGTTAAGAACGTAAGTAAAATCTTAACACTTACATCTTGTGTTTCTGTACCTTGCAACTGGACTGAATGCTAGATCTTCCACTGGGAACCGAATGGAGTCATCAGCCTCGTGCTGATTTGCAAGTCGCCAGCCAATATTTTCTGATCTTTTTGGCGCTGAACAGCCAGAAGAGAACATATTCTGTAGATAAACATTAAATATTATGTATTATGCAAGCTTGGATTGAAAATATTGAGTTGGTAGTGCAGATTAGCACCCCACCACCCACCGTTACTTCAGTTAAGGATGGTTAGTAGTAATTAGTATAACTATAACTTCACAGATGGACAATTGAGTGCTGTTCAGTTTTTTTGCAAGCGTTTAAGTTTTTTTTAAGTGCTTGGTACATGTAGGGCAGCCTGCCAGTCAACTTATATAGAGCCTTGGGATATCCTCCTGATGTGAGATGCTATACAAATGTAATTTGTATTGTAACTTACCGTATCTCTGATTTTTCCAAGGCCAAACCTTAAACGCAAAGACTTGCGTACGATTTCTTTTCGACTCACTCTGGGAGAAAAGCATCCAGCTTTCCCAGACTCCACCCTACAAGAAAAATAAATGACAAATGTTAGCAGAAATTTCTCAAAAGGTTTCATTTAGAAGGAACAATATCTAAATTTCACTGGCAATTTTCATTTATGCTTGGCTAACAATACATTTTTGTGATTGAATATTTGATTTATGGCATAAATCAAGAAATATTCAATTAAGAAAAAACTGAAAACTCACTAATGAACGAACACAGAATTAATCAGTTTTCTGCAGGGTCACCAAATAGTTTCTTTGGGGAGTGGAAAGTAAAGGGAGAATGAGAGAATTTTCTCTGGTAAATTCTGGTACAGTCATCCTTCCTCTTATGTTTACCACAAAGTAGCATATTGTAAATGGCAAACAATATAAATGCTCCAGGAAAATTTGGGAAGGGAGACAGTCAACAAATTCACATAATTAAAACTAAATAGCATGCAAGGCATTCCTTACAAAATGTATACATGGTAAAAATTTGGAGAGTGAGGGGGAAAAAAATAATTTCACACATCCATTTGGCAAACAATCAGGAAAATTGACGAGTACCTCTCAATCTTTTTGTTTTCCAATCTTTTACTTTTCCGCCTCTTTCCTGAAGGTGAAGCAGTTGCCTGAAACTGAATGCTTCCATCAGATAGGAACAGAGAACTTTTCAGGGATTCCAAAGCCACTTGAGGACTCATTTCAATAAATTGTGTCTTAGAAGTAACTGAAGAAAAATTTTAAAAAATCAATTAAACTTCTGAAAATCTAAGTTTGAAACCAAATGCTTAGAGTTTCTATAATCAAATACTCAAAAGCTCCATTCATACCACCATCCTTCTTAACCCCATCTGATGAAGGTGTAGAATTCTGACTAAGAAAGCTGCTACTGGGTAACAGCTCGAAACCCAGGTTCTGTCTTAGAGATCGTCTGTGAAGAAAAAGTCTGTACATGTTAGCACATCTTTTAAAACTTTAGGTAGGTAAACTTCAAAATGGATGCAAAGCTCCTATATGAAGCTAGCAAGAACAATTCAGGTTAAAAGTTATTAAAATATTAAAATGTACCGTTTTTTGTTTGAAAATCCAAGGCTGTGTGAAGAATCAACTTGCACTTTGCGTTTACATGTTGGAGTCATAATTATTGGAGTTGCTGAAGACCGTTCTAAACAGGGATATCAAAGTAAGTTTTGCTTATTGTTAGCACTTAACATCTCCAGACGTTCCCGTCACATTTTATCAGCTGTACAAGATTACAGTGCTCTACATCTGAAGTATTGGGTAGTTTGATGGCTGCGAAATAAGGGAACTGCCCTGAAAGAGATACAGTGGAACCCTATTATAATATGCTTCAGTATTGTAATAATAATAATCCTTAAATTTGATATGACGCCTTATCACGCTTCACAAAATATACTCTAAAGTGAATTGACTGTATATTTTGTGGACGAAAGACAAGTTTGCGTATATTGGGGTAAGAATCTTAACACTTACCAAAAAAGAGAAAGAAGTAAAGGAAACACAAACTTGTGCACTGCCAGCATCTTACATATATGGCTATTTGGGGATGTTTACCCCAGTATGTTTCCTTTGGTCTGCTATTAGGAACAGGAGTAGGCCATTCAGCCCTTCGAACTTGTTCTGCCATTCAATCAGATCATGGCTGTTAACATGTTTTTTGTAACACTTCAATTGCGGCTCTCATATATTCTCTTTTTACAAGTGGTTTTCTAAAAACAAATCTCAACTTCAAAGTTTGGGTTTCTCAAATGAAGGGCTCAAGGTATGAATAGAATAATTTAACTTTACATTTCTAGCAATAGTTTATATATCCCAAGCACACCATTGTGACGGTATAGGAACAAGATCTTGCAAACTATTTCAATCATTGGAACTTCCACCCAGATAGTCAGAAGAAAAAAAACTGATCAAATAATACTGTCATCCCGATGCTTGATTCAAACATAAGTCAACATTTTACAAGATTTTGGTACCCAAACAAAAAGAAACAAAATCTCTGCAGTACTTCCATATATCTTCGTTAGTTTTTATATGACCTTGTTTTAATAAAACAGACTACTAAATAATTCTTATTTTACATACCCGATGTGTCAGGTTGAGGAGTCCCAGAAGGTGTTCTGTTTGCTTTAAGCTTACTTAGTGCTCCGCTAACTATGTCTGAAATGCAAGGTATAAAATAAAGTTAAATTCCACATCAATCTTCACAATAGCTTAGCTACAATGATAAAAAAATCCTCTCTCTTCTTCTTCCCACAATATTTACAATAGTTTATAAAATTCCCCAAATCAGGACAACAAAAACATAGAAATGTACATTAAGAATCAAACTTGAAATTCCCACAATATTTTCCACCGACTAGAGATGTCAAAAAGTTAAAATAAAAGGTTCTGAACATTTTTATGCAGTCGTCATTTAGATCATTCAAATAGTGCCAAGCAAGCAATCTTTTGTTCATGTTTTCGCCCACAAATATACAGTCAATTCACTTTACAGTGTTCTGTGAAGCGCTTTGGGACGTCCTCCCGACGTGAAAAGCGCTATATCAAATGCAAGGATTATTATTATTATTAAGGAATTTAAGTTTTTTTTATGAAGTATCTTCTTTCATATTCAAACCGCTATTAAAAAATGCATGTTTAAAATAAGGTTAAAGAGGTAAATTTTATTACTGAATTTACAAAAGCAATGCTTCCATATTCTGAAAAGGCAACATAAACATTTGCAGTGTTTAATTTGAGAATAAAAATAAGAATCCATTAAATACGTTTACCATCAATTACATTTGGCACAAACCCGTAAATATGTACTCAAATCTAGGTTTCTGACTGCTACAGAAGCAAAGCAAAAGATCACGATGGTGTTTGTACATTGAGAAGCTTTCAGTAGTGTTTAACACAATAAACATTAAATTTTTTAGTTTTATTTAATTTTGAGATTAAAGCATGCAATTTGTTTACCTCCTGACACAAGACCTGGCGGCTGCTGCATCAGAACCAATGTCACACAAATTTGTATGTTCAAAAGAGGGAGGGGGGATTTATCACTGTTTATAAAATGTTTGCCCACCAGGGCATTGTACAACGAGTTTCGGCATAACATAATGCAAATTTAACAATATAAAGCTCATCAAAATAAAACTAGGCAGCACAGCTTCTACTTAAGTAGAATTCTACCAACCCCCAACACTCCGCCTCCTTCGTCTCTTGCATCCCTCCGTTAATGGTCCATCTCCATCTTCTATGTTGTCCAATGATGAACTGCTCGATCCGACATCAACACCGAGCATTGCTGGAATCTTTTCTAACACAATGTCTGGAACGTGACCTTAACAAATGACAATAACTATTATTAATGAATGGAATTAAATCCAAAATGTAAAATCACGCTATAGCTATCATTTGACCAATGTCACTTGAGTTCCAAGAATTTGTTGAAGAAACACTGATATGAAAGGATTTAATCATTAAACACAATACTTTGGTATACTTTATTTTATGCTTTACGACGAAAAACTAATGAAGGTGATCTGATCTGAAATCTCCCTACCTAGTCATCTTGTTCAACAAAAACATATCAATTTACTTTAGTTCAAAAATGTCTCCCTTTTATTAATTGCCATTAATGAAAGGGAAAGCATCAAGGGAATGCATAAAAAACTACAAATGGCAACATACTTACCAATTTCTTGAAAGCTGTCAATGAGTGTATGCACAGCGGCAGCTTGAAGTTGGAGTCGCTTCTCTGTCAAGGCTGTTACCTTGTCACCTCCATCTCCTGAATGGAAGAAGTTGGGTGCAAATACTACAGCCAGGTTTTTGCTATCCATTTTGTTGTCTTTTGACCTAAGTGAAAGACAAGCAAATATTACCATGTTCAAGCAAATATTACCAAGGTTCTGTCTAAAGCAAAATAAGTACATTCTACAAAAGAGAAGTGTGAAAGAATCCAATTTGTACAAAATCTCACAGAATGCTTTCAAAATGTGAAGCCGGTTGAGAGCACTTGTAGATAATGGGGAAAATTATCTCAATTTCAAGAGTTTAGCAGCCTTCTTACTGGGTAAAGTCTTATCTTTATAAATCATATAATCTCCCTTGGTATATATTCAACCAAGTCCTAATCCACGATTCAATGTGATTCCAATGTAAGTGTGCATGTGGGCAACGGTGAAGATGCATTGAATCGTGGAAAATGTAGTCTTGACCAGTCACCCCATGCGCACCTACTGGCTGCATTGAATGACACATGTGTAGTGTAAATTATTGATTAAATAGAATTTTACATGACTTATACAGTTTGCCTACAATTCAGACTCCATGCAAGTCATTTTAAATGTTATGGTCCCGACTGATATGACTTATCTGAGTTTCACTGTATTGCAACAAAATACATTCAGCATATCTGCCTGCCCACTTTAACCTGTAAATTAATATTGCTTTTATGTCGACCGTTCAATGAGAGACACGTTGTTTTCAATACGTACCTGAGAGACACATTTTTAAGAAAACTCAAGAAATAATGCAATGTATTTGCGTTTTTTTCAGGTAACAAACAGGACAGAAGAATTGTGGTATAAATTTTCTCGTTGTTTTGTAATTGCTGTGATTTAATGAAGGCTTCATGTAGTTCTGTTGGCAGTACAGGTTCAGGTAACTCCCTGAAAAAACATTTGACAAGCCCGGCCACATCACAAGGGGGCGCCATATTAATGCAGTTCACACCCTGGTCCACCTTAGCCTGAATGAACAAGACAAACATAAATTAACAATTATTGTACTAAATGCACAATTGTGGAGGGCCGTAAATCATAGGTTGTAACTATTGGCAAACAGAAGCATTTAGATTATGAAAATGTTGAATATACTTGTACCTTCAAAGCTTTAAGACGAATCACGGATCCTGATTTTCTAAAGAGACCCTCTGTATGGATATGTTGTTCTAAGTAGATACAGGTATCAACTAGGATCCTAAAAACAAAGAAACCATTAACTGCCTATTATAAAATTCAGCACCAGAATAATAACAATAATTTACATTTAACATAGGGCTTTTCACATTGGGAGGTAGTTTCAAAGTATTTCACAGGATATACTGCAATGTGTAGAGCCTTTTTTGGAATGTCTATGCTTCACAGTAATTCCTGTGTAGCGCTTTGAGGGGTTTCGACAATGCAATAAAGTGATAGATCAAATTGCAAGGATTGTTCAAATCCAATGAGTGGAGAAGTTCAATTATCGGCAAGAACTGTAGGCGAGAGATGGTATCTTGTAAAAATAAATAATAAAAAAATGTTATAATAAAAAAACATAGGAATAAAAGGTAGAAAATGGTAAAGCAATCAAAATTTAGAGGTGATAAAGCATAGGCAAAAAATTTAAATAAACGTTTTAAAATTTCCCTATGCTGTTATAGTAACTGTATTACAGTCGTATATTTTATTCAGCTTCATGGGATATGGCTAGAAACAACTTAATCTTCTGCTTAGATATTTCGTAACATTTAATCAGATGATGACGACAATTCCTCCCCACCCCGCACTTACTGAGGAATGGTGCCATGATCGGGAATAGTGCATTGTGGCAGTGCATTCAGAGATGTACCAAACACCACATTGGGCACAGTTTTCTTGTCCTAAAACATTTAAGAAAAAGTGTCAGTGCACATGTTGCTTGAAATTAAACATTGTTAATTATATGCATGTTATAAAAAATATCTGACGTGATGAAGAGAAGTGTGAGATCAGTTGCGCAGAATAGTTCTCCTTTCATATACAAATGAAAGGAAAGCAAACAATCCTACGTACAGAATAAAATGGTCATGAGATTTTTAAACTACACAAATTGTATTAAAGTGGCCCAGAAAATCCGTTGACATTCAATGCAATGTAGGATCACAAGTTTATCTCATTTGACGTGCCAATGCATTTCAAATATCAACAGTTGGTGTAAACAAATGCATCACGGGTTCAATTCAGTACAGCACAGTAGTTATATCCTGAAAGCTAAGCCTTCACTTCAAATAGGTTACTTATTTCAAATACTAACTAAATACTTATTTCAAATTCCATGGGCACACAAATAACTTTCATCATTTCACAATACAGTGCCATGCACTTCTAGTAACGCAATATATCTAGTCACAAACATTAGTACACTGCCGGAAAGATAAATCACAAAAAAAGTTCTATATCCAGGGTTGCACTAGTGGTTCAATGAATATGGATAAAAGCACTATGAAGTATGTCACAGTCATACAGAACAAGAGTGTCTCAGATTGGAACCACTGGCCTGAGTTACCTAAATTCACCCAAGGCACCAGTTGTATGTGATAATGGGTCTCATGATCCCAGGCTAGGGATGGGTGGTGTAGGGAAAGCAAAGATGAAATACTACATAACTGGGATTCCTGCTCTTGACTCATTATTTTATTGTATGGAACAATATACAGTAATAGCACATAGGATCAAGAACACAATTTCAAAACCATTTAAATACATTGTTGTTTCAGGTTCATTTACAGAAAATGAAATTCACAAAAATACTGCAGATTACTACATTTCCCACCTTGCCTTAGTTTATAATAATAATCCTTGCATTTGATATAGTGCTTTTGACTTCCCGACGTCTCCAAGCGCTTCACAGAATATACTGTAAAATGAATTGACTATATATTTGTGGGCGAAACATGGCAGCCAATTGCGCACAGCAGTGTCCCACAAACAGACGTGGATTGAAAATGACCAATTTATTATTGTTTTGTTTTGGAGGGATTATTATTAGGAGTGTGGAGTAAGGAACTTGCCCAAGGTTTCGCCCTGCCTGGAATTGAACCCAGGCGTCTCGCTTGCAAGGCGAGTGCTCTAGTTTACTCTGATAAAATTTATTATATAAACATTTTACATAATCATCAGCAATACCTGAGATTTGACAATAGCTGATTGACTTTTAATAGTCAGTGAATTAAACAGTCATTTCAACTTCACCTATATAATATAGCTTGAACCTGTCAACCCTGTAGTTATGTCAACAACCTCCTACAAACAAACCGATATACAGACTTTATTATGTTTATTTGCAGTTTGTTCGGCAATGCGGGACACTGTCTCAGTAGTTACATAGGTGAAATAAGTTCAATGTCCAGTAACACAGATACATCAGTGACACTAACTGAAACAAATATGCTAACCAATCATTAGTTCCACATTTGTTTGTATATTTTCAACTGGGGATGACAGTGATATGTAAGATTAAATCTCACAAAGGGAACGCTAAAAAAGACTTTTTACACAGGTTCTTTATTGAAAAACTCCTTTACTAAGAGCGTTCTTTCCAACACCAAAAACTGTCTAATCTAAACCTTTGCAGGTCTATAGTGACAAGGGAATCTGAAGAATACATGTTTCGACAGCAAAGAATACCCTCAATGTTATTATTAATGTTATTGAATCATAAAATGTGGCTAAACAGAAGCAGTATTACAATGTTATAGATCCCAGTGCAACAATGTCAATCCAAGCATAGAAACATCTCCATGCTATTGACACAGTAGAATGAACTCAAACCACAATAATGGGGACCAGCACCCATGTGAAATGGTTCAAATAGGAGTGAATAGTCAGCTTGTAAATATAATAAAAATATAGAAGTTGGTAATTTAGTGAGAACATCTGCACAAAGTTGCACTAGAAAATAAGATGGATTCACGACCCACGAGTCTAATTTTAATATACTGTCTCACTTTTTCCTTCTCCATCTGTTTCTCATGCTGTCCGTTGATGCTCTTCTACAGCAAATCAGAGTGATTTGCCATGAAAAGCGCTTTGTAAATCTGCAGGACAATTTGGAAGTGAATTGTACTGGAGCCCATTGCCAAAAGCACAACTTACATTCCTAACATCCATCAGAAATTTCATACTGGTGACCAGTTTGCACTTCGTGTTGCTTGCCAAACAATTACATTTGGATTGAAGATTCGTTTTACCTATTAAACTGCCACAAGACCCCAGAAAACAAGGATGTAACAAACATAAAGATCACATGGAAAGCAATTTTAGGAATTTGATCAAATGTGAGTGAACAATCTTGCTCCTAAAATAATTTTTAGATAAGTCTCTGTGCTTTTGTATTTTTAAATCTATAAATAATATTTTAAGTCTTGTGATAGTTCCATGATAGATCAACATGCAAATAAAGATGTTCAATTGTATTAATTAATTTGGAAGCAAAGCTCAAACATACAATACCCATCGATGTTTTATATATACAAAAACAGAATTACTATAAATCCATAGCATTTCAATGTCTGAAAAAGGATGCCTTGGACCTACTTGAACCTTAGATAGAGACCCAAATCAATTCAGCTGTGAAAACAGGCATACCGACAAACTCAAATCAATAATATTTTACAGCAGAAAAAGTCATTGCTGTCCACTGAATGCTGTGTGTTTGCACCTATCTTGCTGACTGCATGCAAACCAGGTAAGGAACTGTGGAGAAAAATGTGTTGCAGTATACATGTGGAGTCCTGCAGCTTAGTGGTTGGAGCACTCGCCTCGCAAGCAAGAGGACCTGAGTTTGATTCCCAGCAGGGTGAAACAGTTAGGCACGTTTCCTTACTCCACACCCCTATTTATTTAGCAGTAACTTGGAACTTGTTTGTTAGTTGATTGGTGGATTGCTTTTCCGGAGGTAATAATCCCTCCCCAATAAATAAATAATAAATTTGGTCACTCAATCTACAACTGTTTGTGTGCAATTGCCTATATTTTCGCCTACAAAATATACAGTCATTCACTTTAAAGTTATAATTCACTTCTGTGAAGCACTTTGAGACTTCTTGAAGATGCGATAAGGCACTATATCAAATGCAATGATTATTATTATTTAATGCAATAGATTTTTCAAGTCATACGTATTTCTTCAACTGGTCACAATATACTGGTCAAGATTCTTGTGTTAGTCTTTGATGCCATCCAAATCTTTAATAAATGTGGATGAAAATTTCGCTTTGCTTGAAAAGGAATGCACACTCTCGCCTTGGAGGAATGCACTCTATTCACCTAATTTGAGTATTAGGTGCAGATTGGCAAAAGCCATCGATGACCCCAGTGTACTTATAACCACACAGTTTGCCAGTTAGTCTGTGTTTGAATTCTTTCCATTGGAGGATGGGAAGCCCAGCAAAGCTTGGGGTGATGGATTTTGTGCTGACTGATGAGGGAGACAGCTTGTGCAGGGAGAGTCCAGTGAGCAGCTCGTTGGAATAACCATGTAATAATAATTGTTGCAGTGACAACAAGAGCTATTACCAATTTGGGAAGAATCCCTGACCCCCAAAGAGTTGTCTGCCCCTCCAAGGATTGGTGACATCTGCCATCGACACAATGCCGTTAGTGCTGCAGAACCGCCTGGCTCGGGATCCAAGCCCCCCAAAAAGGATCGACTCCATCCCAATATTGCATTACCAAACAGATCCCTTTACCTCTTCTACAATCCACTCCCCCACACCCGAATATCTTCAATCGGATGATACAGTTCAAAAGGGATTTAATGCGCAGCTCCCACTCACTTATCCCGCCTTCTCTCCCAAATACCTCCTGTTCCTCTGGAGTCAGTCCAGTCCACTTTATTTACAACTTCCACTTCCCATCTTAACAACAAATGGGTCACTCCAATCCGCGACTTGTTTGTTTGTGGGACACCCCTGGGCGCAACTGCCTGCCGCCTTTCGTCCGCAAAACAGACAGTCAGTTCGCTTTACAGGAGAGTCTGTGAAGCGCTCTGAGGCGTCTCGAAGAAGTGAGTGATGAGGCGCTGTATCAAAGGCGAGGATTGTTATTATTATTATTATTCACCATATACTTTAAAAAAAAGACACTAAAAAAAAGCCCCGTCTGTGAGTGCTCCTCTCGGCCCAGTGTGACACCGTAACTCCCCCCCGACAACAGACTGGACGGTTTAAACGTCGGGCTGTTTGAGCAGTGCCCGGGCCCGGCCTCACTCACCCCCCCCGGGCCCGGCCTCACTCACCCCCCCCCGGGCCCGGCCTCACTCACCCCCCGGGCCCTGCCTCACTCACCCCCCCGGGCCCGGCCTCACTCACCCCCCGGGCCCGGCCTCACTCACCCCCCGGGCCCGGCCTCACTCACCCCCCGGGCCCTGCCTTACTCACCCCCCGGGCCCGGCCTCACTCACCCCCCGGGCCCGGCCTCACTCACCCCCCCCCGGGCCCGGCCTCACTGACCCCCCGGGCCCGGCCTCACTCACCCCCCCCGGGCCCGGCCTCATCACCCCCCCCCCGGGCCCGGCCTCACTCACCCCCCCCGGGCCCGGCCTCACTCACCCCCCCCCGGGCCCGGCCTCACTCACCCCCCCCCGGGCCCGGCCTCACTCACTCACCCCCCGGGCCCGCCTCACTCACCCCCCCGGGCCCTGCCTCACTCACCCCCCCGGGCCCTGCCTTACTCACCCCCCCCGGGCCCTGCCTCACTCACCCCCCGGGCCCTGCCTTACTCACCCCCCGGGCCCTGCCTTACTCACCCCCCCGGGCCCGGCCTCACTCACCCCCCCCGGGCCCTGCCTCACTCACCCCCCCCCGGGCCCTGCCTCACTCACCCCCCCGGGCCCGGCCTCACTCACCCCCCCCCGGGCCCGGCCTCACTCACCCCCCCCGGGCCCGGCCTCACTCACCCCCCGGGCCCGGCCTCACTCACCCCCCGGGCCCGGCCTCACTCACCCCCCGGGCCCTGCCTCACTCACCCCCCGGGCCCTGCCTCACTCACCCGGCTGTGGTCCCGGCCCAGCGCTCGGCTGTTGTTCGCCTTGTTCCAGTTTTTCACTTTGATCCCGTAAGCCCTGAGCTGCTGCACCACCGCCAGCCGCACCAGGTTCTTATCGGCCTTCATACCCTCAGTGATCGGTCCTCCAAACCTTCTCTCTATCCCCGGGACCTCTCTCTCTCTAACCCCCAGGTCTCTCTCCCAGGGTCTCCCTGTGTCCAAGTCTCTCCCTACTCCCCCCCCACCCACCCCCGCCCCCGGGGCCTGTGTGTGTCTCTCTCTCTCTCGCGCGCGCTCTCCAGGTTCAAACGGCGGTTCCTCGCGAGCTCGAGTTCTCATTGGTCACTGACATTTCAAATCAAGGGCCTGACGTCACAAGCCCCCCCCCGAGTCTCCTCCTCCCTCCCCCCCGAGTCTCCTCCCCCTCCCCCCGAGTCTCCTCCCCCCTCCCCCCCGAGTCTCCTCCCCCCTCCCCCCCGAGTCTCCCCCCCTCCCCCCCGAGTCTCCCCCCCTCCCCCCCGAGTCTCCTCCCCCCTCCCCCCCGAGTCTCCTCCCCCCTCCCCCCCGAGTCTCCTCCCCCCCCACCGAGTCTCCTCCCCCCTCCCCCCGAGTCTCCTCCCCCTCCCCCCGAGTCTCCTCCCCCCTCCCCCCCGAGTCTCCTCCCCCGAGTCTCCTCCCCCTCCCCCCGAGTCTCCTCCCCCCTCCCCCCCGAGTCTCCTCCCCCCCCACCGAGTCGTGTGTATATCTCTCTGTCTGTCTGTATGTGTGTGTCTCTGTATGTATGTGTCTTTTTCTGTGTGTCTCTCTGTCTATGTATGTCTCTCTCTCTGTCTGTATGTATGTGTGTGTCTCTCTGTCTATGTATGTCTCTCTGTCTGTATGTATGTGTCTCTCTGTCTGTATGTATGTGTGTGTCTCTCTGTCTCTCTGTATGTGTGTGTCTCTCTGTCTGTATGTATCTGTGTGTCTCTCTGTCTATGTATGTGTATCTCTCTGTATGTGTGTGTCTCTCTCTGTCTATGTATGTGTGTGTCTCTGTCTGTATGTGTGCGTCTATGTCTCTGTAAATGTGTATCTCTGTGTCTCTGAGGCCGCGAGTCTCTCTCTGGGTCTGTGTGTGGTGGACCCTGAGCGGCAGGAGATGGTGAGCTCCTGTATCCCCTCAGTCAGGACACTGGTCCTGAGTGTCAGGTTTTTTTTGCAAGATCTCCAGGGCTGTGCTGGTGTCCCCTTCCCCCCAATGGCCCACCCGGTTTCTGTTAAGAAATTAATAAAAAGTGTTTTGCAACAATCCGATTGTTATTTCCTCAGGTTTAGATTTTATGAATAAAGTAAAAAAAAATGTAGGTTGGCAATAAAATGTACCTCAATAGCACCAACCGACCCTCCGCAAGATTCCCAAGTTTCCCTACAATTTTAGGCAAACATTTCCGCACTTTTCTATTGGCCCAGCCAATGACCAATTTGATCTTGGGGATTGTTGGCACCTCGTTTCGAACAGTGCCATGGAAATTGTTGACATCAACAACAAAATCCACCCGAACAGGCCGACAGCTTTGATTTAGTGTCTCATCAGAAGGATAATAATAAAACTTGCATTTGATACAGCGCCTTATCACATCGTTGAGATGTCTCAAAGCCTTCACAGACTATCCTGTGAAGTGAAGGATGGCACCTCCAACAATGCAGCAGCTCCCCCAGCACTGTTTGGGAGTGTCAGTCCAGACCAGTGTTTCTCTAATGCGGCCACCTGTGTGATTCTGTGTGACCACGTGAGCCTCCTGGCCCCCCACAGCAGGTGAGGTGTGCAGCTCCTATTAGCCAGCTTTAGCTTGTTCTACATCTATCGCCTACAGCACTGCTGGTTGGAGTGCTGTAGGCGATAGAACGAGCTTACAGTCACAGGTTTGTTCGTATAATCGTTCTTAACCACTAAGCCAATGTTGACAACTCTGGTCCCTCTTTCATGTAGACTGCAGCAATCTCAATTGCTGCAAGCTTATTTGAAAGCTAAGGTTGTGGCACAGCAATGTCATTGTTGTCTATGTTTGTGCAACACTGATGGTGGAGTCCTGTAGCTCAGTGGTTAGAGCACTCACTTCGCAAGCGAGAGACCTGAGTTCAATTCCAGGCAGAGGGCGAAAACTTGGGCAAGTTTCCTTACTCCACACGCCTAATAATAATCCCTCCAAAACAAAAACAATAATAAATTGGTCATTTTCAATCTACGACTGTTTGTGAGACATTGCTGTGTGCAATTGGCTGCCGCGTTTGCCCACAAATATACAGTCAATTCACTTTACAGTGTGTTCTGTGAAGCGCTTTGGGACGTCCTCCTGACGTGAAAAGCGCTGTATCAAATGCAAGGATTATTATTATTATTATTATTTATTGTGCTGTACTTGTTACTGTCTGTGTAAGATTTTGTGGAAAAAAGTTTTTCTCAAATATGGTTTGTCAAATATACAGAAATGAATGAAAATGAATTGAGATAATAATAATAATAATAATAATAATAATAATAATAATAATAATCCTTGCATTTGATATAGCGTTTTTCACGTCGGGAGGACGTCCCAAAGCGCTTCACAGAACACACTGTAAAGTGAATTGACTGTATATTTGTGGGCGAACGCGGCAGCCAATTGCGCACAGCAATGTCCCACAAACAGTCGTAGATTGAAAATGACCAATTTATTATTGTTTTGGGGTTTTTTGGAGGGATTATTATTAGGCGTGTGGAGTAAGGAAACTTGCCCAAGGTTTCGCCCTGCCTGGAATTGAACTCAGGTCTCTCGCTTGCAAAGCGAGTGCTCTAACCACTGAGCTACAGGACTCCACAAATGTGCATGTGCATGTGTTTATCATTTCTTTATTTTTCATATGATTAACTAAGTATTTTTAGGGAAAACTAGTACTGCGGCCACCAAAAATTGACCGAAAGCAATATAATGCTTCCCCACATATTCAATCTGGAAATCTCATGGCCCACAATTGTTCTTTCTATATAATACTGTAACATAAAAGTTGGTGATGTGTAAAGCTAAAAGGAAACACTGTATGCATAAATCTGGTGAACCGTAAAATGAGTCAGACAAATGTTATTTATTTTATAGTTGATATATTTTACACATGTAATAATTTTCAGATGTCTTTATTATCCAACATCAAAACTGTTTAAACGTATCCCAATAATAAAATTCACTATTACTCTTGAACAGATGTGAAATATTATGAATATAACAATGTCAAAATACAGGCTGTGCTTTTGCAGTAATTTTATGTTGCGATAAACATTTGAATGGCCACTGCACTAAGAGAAATAATTTAACAACATTTTGTGCGCATGTGTGTGGACTAAATATTAAAATCATTGGAGATGTTCTGGATTATGTATGCACATAAAATAATGATCGGCCCCTTGCACAATTCTTCAAAATTATGCTCCCAAGGAGACGCTTTTCTCCAGTGTATTTCCCTTTGCATTGTCAGGGGATAAAATTGTTTTAATTTCTGTTTGTGGGACATTGCTGTGCATAAATTGGCTGCTCCATTTTTCCACAAAGTACATACGCACTACATTTTACAGTAAATCTGTGAAACTCTTTGAGATATCCTGTTGATATGAAATGCGCTATATATAATGGAAGGATTATTATTATGATTGTTAGGTTCTATTTTTTGCTCAATATTTTTTTCCGGAGTTGAGGCAGAGAAAATATCGAAAAATGCACAGTAAGCTGATCAGCATTTGAAAGAGAAAGACAGGTTAACATTTCTGCCATGAAGCTTCATTAGAAAACATAAGGTCACCTTAATATATGTAATATAGCTGGAAAATAATAAGGAAAATTCCAATAATCTTTTATACTGTATTGATTTAAATATGTTCACCTTCTGTTGTATTAATATATCATTTGAATCATTTTCTTTTGTAATAAACAAATTCCTCAGACTCAGTCTTTTGGATGTATTTAAGCAAAAATGTACAAAAATAAACTTGTCAGTTGAAACTGCTAGTGTCAACAATTAGTTAAGCACTAGAGTGCCCTCTCATGTTCAGAGAGGTCCCTAGCAGGAGTATTTTCTTTCCTGGGTTTTCAAAAGTTGACAGATGGACATTTTGTACATATGTTTTGATCATTGTTCAAAGACAGTCAGAACTGAGATCAGGAAGAATTTCAAAAGGTTGTGAATATCTGGAGTGCTCTGCCCCAGGAAGCCTTTAGGCATCTTGAGACATTTGAGACATTTGGTGTGATGGGCAAGTTTCCTTACTCCACACACCTAATAATAATCCTTCCAAAACCAAAAACAATAATAAATTGGTCATTTTCAATTTACGACTGTTTGTGGGACATTGCTGTGCGCAATTGGCTGCCGCGTTCGCCCACAAATATACAGTCAATTCACTTTACAGTGTGTTCTGTGAAGCGCATTGGGACGTCCTCCCGACGTGAAAAGCGCTATATCAAATGCAAGGATTATTATTATTATAAGGTGCTTTGACAATGCAAGTTTGTTTTTCCGAGGTATGCCACTGTGATTCCAAATACATTTCTGAGGGTTGAAGTAAATATTTAAAGTTTTGTATTAAGGGATAGGAATTAAATGCCAACCAAGTATTTGCACACAGCAATGTTCCATAAACTGGCCATGAAATGAATGACCAAATTTATCAAGGGAATTGTTGGTCAGGATACCAGGAAGATATTAAGTACTACAGTAACACAAATAACAGATAAATATATTGACTTTGTATTTATTTGTATTTATTTATTTGTATTGTATTTATTTGGATGAGTTTACACGAACATTTTAAGAACATATTAGTTTTGTAATATTTAACCCAAGAATTGGAATTTATTTAAGGAAACACTTTAGATTTACCTTAATAAATTGTTAATTTGTTGTCAGTTGTTACTGGTCTCACGTAGTCTATTACTGTTAATGCAGGATGGGATTCAAAACATTTTACTGCAGTAACATCTGTAAATAAATAAATAAAATTGACTTGTTTCACAAGAATGAAATAAACAATGCCATGGTAATGTCAAACAATCCTGGAAAAAAAGATAAAATAATTCACTCATATCTATACGAAAAGTACTTAACAATTCATGATTACCTATTCATTTCTTAGGTTGGATAAGAACTGATAACTTATTGGATAAGAGCACTCACCTCACAAACGAGAGACCTGGGTTCGATTCCAGGCAGGGCGAAACAT